ACCTTATTCTTTGAAACTGATCTTCTGGTATTTTTCCTGAGAAGATATGTGACAATTCAATGAAAACTAAGCACATACTGAAATCTGATGGTTCAAAACTCAGCACAAAATAATTTGTTAGTCTCTTGCAGGATTAATAAAAAGAATGTCATACACAGCTGTGCAAAATCTGAATAAACAAATGTAACTGCCTAGCAAATTTCTTCAAAGAGTACCTTCAGAAAGAGGCCATTAGAAGTGACAGATAATTATTGGTCAAAACACATTCCTCAGCTTTATTGCAGCGCTGTTATTTTTCTATCATTTTGGTAATTACCAGTAATATCCTCATAGATCACATGCTATCATGCTAAATGCTTTGTTGATTTAAAAGGGTCATTTTCAAAACTGCTTGTAAGAGCGGAATGAATAGCAGTCATTAAAATATCCCTTTTATTACTTTTTCATGCAGAAAGAAAAGTAACAAAACCACTGGTTTCAGATACAATATTATCTCTTCTTTTATATGTGAGGCTATGTCTACACTGTATGCTTATTCCAAAATAAGCCATTTTGAAATTTAGATTTTGAAATAGCTTATTTTGAAATAGCTCCTCGACACAACAGATGCCCATCGAATTTGTGCTGAGCTATTTCAAAGTAGAGCATCCACACTCACTGGTTGTTGAATTACATTTAAGGCCACCTGAGAGCACTTCAGGCAAAGCATCAGGACAGTAGTCGCTTCCTGTTGCTGCTGCCTAAGGCTATCTGAGGCTTGTGCTTAGAGGGACTCCCCTGTATTGACGTGTCTCAGGCTCTTCTCTTTTGCCAGCGTCCTTGTGGGACAGCAGTGTCTTTTCTCTGTGTGCTCTGGTCACCCTTGCAGATACCACAGCGCTCCTGCCATGGACTCAGACCTGCCTCTCAGCAGTCGATGGCTCTTATGACTCATGTTGCACCTCCTGGTACAGTTTCTGCAGGCTGCCCTCACAGCTCTGTGGGAACAGAACCCTCTGCTGATTGCAAGAAACTTCCTCTCCTCTCTCCATGTGCTGCTCATTCAGCTTGACCCCACCCACCGTCCCTTGGACACTGTGCACTGCCACTTCAGGTGACTAGACTCCAGTTATGACTGGTGGGACCAGATTGTCATGGAGTGGTGGGACGACCAGCAGTGGCTCCAGAATTTCCCCATGTGGAAGGACATTTTCTTGGAGCTGTGTGAGTGACTCGCCCCTGCCTTCTGGTGATGAGACACCCAGATGAGATCCGCCATCCCCTTCAAGAAGGGGGTAGCTATTGCCATCTGAAATCTCACCATGCTGGACAGCTACCGATCCATCAGGAACCAGTTCGGTGTGGGGAGATCGACTGTCGGTGTCATGGTCATGCAGATATGGTGTTCTCATGCTATTATCCCAGGAGGATGGTGAACTGCTGGAATGGGGTTCCCCAAGGAAGTGGGGGGGGGGGTAGGAGGGACTGGAAGCTCCCTCCCTGGAAAGTTTTTCAGTTCCACCTTCACAGAGCCCTGCCGGGGGTTGGGACAAGTTGGGGTTGCTACTGGTGTGTATGTGTGGGGGTGGGCTCAAGGAGCTCCCAAGGGCCTTGGCAACCCTGTAATTCACTGTATGTCTCCTTCTACAGGCGGTGCGGGCCATCAACACTGTCCTCCTGTGCAGGATTTTCATCCTGCGTGGCTTGAACCCTATTGTCACCGGCTTTGCCACCATGGGCTTCACCAACTGCCAGGGGTGAGTATTGATGGCACCCACATCCCTGTCTGGGCCCCCAGCCACTGGGCATCCAAATACATCAAACAGAAGGGGTACCTTTTTGTGGTGCTACAGGCCCTCATGAACCAATGAGGCTGCGTCATGGACATCTACTTTGGGTAGTTGGGGAAGGCACATGACACACAAGTCATCTGAAACTTCAGCCTCTTCCAGAAGCTGCACACCAGTACTTTTTTCCCCGATTGCACCATCAGGGTCAGGGACATGGACATGCTGATGTGCATTGTAAGAGACGCAGCCTGCTCCTTGCTCCCCTGTCTAATGACACCCTATAGTGGACACTTGGACCCCACCAAAGAATGTTTCAACTCAAGGCTTAGCAGGCCCTGCATGGTTGTGGAGGGCGCCTTCGGCATTTGAAGAGGAGGTTTCCCTGCCTCCTCACCCTCCTGGATGTCAGCAAGCAGAATGTCCCCCGAGTGGTAGAGACCTGCTGTGTCCTCCACAACCTTTGTGAAAGCAAGGGGGAGACGTTCCTGACAGGGTGGGGGCAGAGACTGACCGGCTCGGCAGGGCCTTTGAGCAGCTGCGCATTGCTACTATCCGGCCGGCCCATTAGAGGGTTATGTATATCTGAGAGGCCCTGAGGGAGAGTTTCACACAAAGACCACAGTGACACTCCCCCCTGGGTCTTCCCACAAGGGGCCCTATACATTGCCTCTCTTTGTCTTTCCTCCCACACCCCTCCCTTCCTCTGCCCTCCTTTTCCCTGCCCTCTTCCCTCCCCTGTGCAGACAATAAATCACACTTTTTGTTATGGAACAATAAACTCTGGTTCTTTTACTGGGGTAAATGTAACAGGAAGGACTGGGAAAGAACCGGGGGAGGGGGGTAAGAAGAGAGAGGTGGAAGGGGGAGGAGAGGCTCAGTGGTGGGTCTGCTCATGGTGCCTGCCTTGGGTGGTCCCACTGCCACAGCTGCGGGGCTCTCAATGGACATCAGGGGGCTGGGCAAGAAGCTAGAGGGTTGGGAGAACCTGGGGTGGGAGCAATAGTAGAAGTGGCAGCAGGAGTAGCCACCAGGCATTTGAGGGCATCAGTGAAAGCCACACAGATGGTCCAGCCCTGCTGCAGCAGCTCATGACAGGTGTTTCAGTTCAGCTCCCATTCTGACTTCAGACTGCAGTCCTGCTGGTCCATGGAGTGCTGCAGGGCATGCAGGGAAAAGGTGTGTGTGGCTGTGGAAGAAGATGCTTCCAGGAAAAAGTACAAGTGCCCCGGTGGCCGCTCCATCCGCAGTAATCACAACTGAAATGCGAGCTAGCATCCAATCAATGAGAATGCTATCTTTCCAAAAAGCACGTTGCTTTTTCATTGTGCTTTTGCAAACTCTTTTGAAAGACGTTTTTCTGGAAGATCTCTTCTGGAAAAGCTTCTTCCGAAAGCAGCTAGAAATCTAGACATAGCCTCAGGAGCCAGGATCTGCTCTGGTTCCAAGCCAAGGAACAGAGTTTAGGGAAACTTTCCTTTCTGTGTTCTGAGGCAGCAAGAAGAACAGGAGCCCAGCAAACTAGAACGCAGAGGAGTGAAGGGCTGAATCAGAAGGTTTTGGCAAGGGGGGAGATTGCCACAAATATAGGTTTGAGGGGACAGGCTTTGTGGAGACAGCTGCAGAAAGCCACAATCAGACTACACTCCCTTCAGAGCCTCTAATACAAGACAGAATTGCTCAATATTTTCCTGCTCTCACAAAAAGCTATGAAACCATTTACAAAATGTGTGCCTCTTCTCTCTCTAGTGACTGAGCCATGTAAACATTAACAATCTACCTATTGCTATCAGATGCACGAGTGGCAGAGCTGTGGAGGTAAAGTTTCTAACTTTGCTGATGAACCACACACGTATATAACTACAGCTAAAAATGAACAAATGTTAGTCAAATGACAGTACAGTTCAGACCTCTATCATCTGGATTTTCCTTGTTCGGCAATAAGGGTGTGTCTAGACTACAGGGTTTTGTTGACAAAAGTGGACTTTTGTTGACAAAACTATACCTGTGTCCACACTGCCTTTGAGTTATGTCGACATAACGTCGACAAAACTCAGCAGTTTTGTCGACGTATATAAACCACATTCTACGAGGAATAACACCTTTTGTTGACAGAGTTCTGTCAATAGAAGGCGTTATTGCATCTACACTGTCCTTTGCGTCCACACTGCTATGTCAACAAAGCAGCTTGCTTTGTCAACAGAACTGGATGTAGTCTAGACGCTCTTTGTCGACAGAAGCTTTGTTGACAGTATCTGTGGACAAAACTTCTGTTGACAAAACCCTGTAGTCTAGACATACCCTAACTGTGGTCTAGCATCCCCGTAGGCACTCCCAGGCCAGAGTACTCATGGGGAAAAGCCAGGCCCCGAGTGCAGCAACTCCTCCCCTGTCCTCCCAAATCTTCCAGAGTGCTGCAAATGGATCATTTGTGACATTCAAGCTCACAGGCTTGAGCTCAAGCTTTGCAGGATTGGGACCATTTTGGGAGAAATTCATTCCTACACACACCAGCAGAAGAACTGGGCAACACTTGAGCCCTGATCCTCTTCTTTGACACATGTTCTTAACATTATGCCCTATGAGCAGTCTCTTTCCAGATAATTTTAAGAATGTTCACTTGAACAGAACTACGTTACTTGATGAATGAAGTGTATTCCAGGGTCAGAACCATAGGTCCCACATTATTTTGATAGCATAAGGGGCTTGAGGGCTGAATGGCTTTTGTGCAAACAATGAATGAACTGAAGGTCTCACCATTCCATTACATTATCCTTTATTTTATTATTAGCAATAGCCATATTACAAAGCACTTTGGGATGTATATGTATAGACAATGTTTTTATTGCAAACACATGACAAAATATTTTATAAATGTAACACTCTTTTATACAACCCATGTGCAGGAAAGACTTCATGAAGTTTGCAGTCTGTTTTGGAGAGGAATATTACTCTAATAAGCATACACACATTTGGGGCAGGACAGAAAGAGAATACTTTACCCACGTGAAACTACAAAGAGGGATTTAGAGAGGCAGAATTCTAGAGCATTTGATCTGAGTTTACTTAAAGATCAATTACATCAATAAATACATACATACACCGAACACCTAGCTACGTGTTAATATCTAGTAAAGCACATCAAACGATGATGAGAAACGGTTGTTGCAGAAAGCGATTTGCCTAGCTGAAATGAAAATGGGAAAAAATGAAGTTGAATTAATAAGACCTACTTTTGGTCAACCTGAACTTGTTCCTCAGCCATTAATATCGATTTTTTAGCTATTATAACTAGTCTGTTACCCAATAAATAAGAGTAATGACTTCTGTAGAGCAATCAGAATGTATTCCCGCACAGTATGCATGCACACACATGCCACAAACTAAAAATAATGATGCCTTTCATTTTCATTTAATTTTAAAATGAGATACAATCTTGAAAACTGACTCTGTAAAAATGACACTGTCACTTTTTTTCTGGGTCAAAATGCTCAATTTTCAAATAAAGAAATATGTTTATTATGTGCTAGCCCTTCACCCTTATTTTTTAAATCTGAAAATCTGTTCGTACTCCTCCTTGCTTGAGTAATACCACTGCTACTAAAGAATCAGTAGATCAAGTTCTGCCCTGAGTTACACTCTGCCGGAACAAATAATCAAAATATCATTTCATATGCATTATTCGGCACATTTTGTCAAATAATTAATTTGTCAGATCATTCTTTGTGGACAAATAGTATTTGCTGAATAAATTATTAAATGAACAACACTAATATTAATTGAATAATTTGTTCAATGAATATTTGTTTCCAGTTTTCAGTCAGCTCTACGGCTCCTAGGGCTATATCTTCCAAGGTGTATAAATGTGCTTTAATTGCACAGATACAGTGAAAAGAGAATTTGTTTCATTGTCTTTAATATGGACACGCATGTATAACTGAGTCAATGTTGGACTTGGAAATCTTGGCTGTCGTGCTTCTTTTGCGTCCAGGAGTGGAATGGAACATACTCCTGGGACGTATACCCCTTAGCTCAGGGACTCATGGAACAACAGAGAGAAGGTTCTAGTGAATGGTTCCCTTTTTCTCCTAAACATCTGAAATCCTGGGAGGGGCGGTTTTGTGGGACTTCTCAGCGTTCCTTCCAGCTCTGCGGATTGAGCAGGGCCCACTTTGCAGCCAATAGATCTCTGCCAAATCCTGCATGCACAAAAACACGGTGGTAAACAATCCTTGAAATCAATGAGATAGTCCACACAAAACATGAGGCTTTTCTTCTATTAATATGCCACTGAATTCTTTGATTTTAAGGCAAATGATCCCCATTAGGACACCCAGACTGACCTCCTGTATAACATAGTGTTGCAGGAAGGCTGGCATTTTTAAATGAAGTAGGTCCACTTCCCTGTGCCAGAAGGTGCTCTCAGTCTGGCCAATAAAGAGGGTGGGCAGTACCTGAGGTATAAAGGATAAAGTAGAATCAGAGCAGTAAGGAGATTTTGAAGAACACTGTAGGAGATTCCTGTGGAAAGCATGTAGAGTAGCAAGGTTTTCTGGCTTGTCTCCAAGCCAGAGAGGGCTGGAGGCAATGGAGTAAGAGAGGAGCTTGTCTGATGGTGTGTTGAAAAGCTAGAGCCAGGGGATTGGAGAGGACTCAGAGCCTAGGGGACATTGGGAAGGTTGGCTCAGCAGAGATGAGAGCTTAATGGAACAGGGAAGTGATGGTCACTCATTTGGTCAGGATGAATTCCAAGCAGAGAGATTGAGGGGGATTGTGGTTCCTGCTGGGAAAGTAGGGTTTCACTCCAGCTGGGAGGGAGGGCTGGGGTGGAGGTCCTGGCAGAGGAACAGGAGAGGATCAAAGAATAGCCTAGTTGTGATGGAAGATGTTGGTGTGTGATATGTGCTACATGGTTGGACTATATGGTGTGGGATTTTGAGAAATAGATGCAATGGGGACGCTAAGGCTATGTCTACACTGTACAGTTATTTTGGAATAAGCTATTCCGGAATAGTTATTCTGAACTAGCTTATTTTGAAATAGCATGTCTAGACTGCAGGGAAGCCTCAAAATTAGTCTGAGGCAGGCTTCCATAATGTAAATATGCTATCTCAATTTAGAGTCTTAGAATGGTCCGGGTGAGGGGCTATTTTGCAATAGCAGAAGTCGAGCGTCTATTCACACCTTATTTTGAAATAGCTATTTTGGAATAGGCTTTATTCTTCATAGAATGAGGTTAACAGAAGTCAAAATAAGCTGTCCGTTATTTCAAAATTATTTTGAAATAGCAGAATTTCTGTGTAGATGCTCGCATAGTTATTTCAGAATAACAGCTGTTATTCCGAAATAACTTTGCTGTGTAGACGCACCCTAATGAGACTATATTTGGAAAATTGTATTTCATGATTATTTGCCCTCTGTTGTAATAAAATAAAGCAAAGGGGGATTATTATGGTGTTGGGCAAACTTGGTGTGGAATCCTTAGGACCTCCCTATGTTCAGGGGGCCTCTTATCCTTCCTATCATCTAAGGGTTCCGACTCCATCCCTGGGATAGCAACCCTAGAGTGCTAATTACCCCTGTCTGATGCCCAATAATTCGTGTTTGACTAATGACCACTACATAACATTTGATAAGCATTAATGAAATTCCTATATAAACCTGATGATGAATAAGTATCACAATTGAGTTCACATTCAGAATTAATAGAAGAGGACAGCATTAAAGAAAATTGTTAAAATATTTAGGGTTTTGGGAGGGTTTTTTTAAGAACTGTAAATGGAAATCTTATCCTGGCTTTCAAAATAAATAAAATCCCTTTAAAACACATAAGCGGCTGTTTTGAAGATCCAAGCATTGCAGCATTGTCTAGGTACACGAGAATGACAGTGATCAAACTGAGACTATGAGGTATACAAAACCCAAAATGTGTATAAGCAAAAAGTGAAACTGATTAATCTGGTCTCACTTTTTAATTGGCATGACACGCTAACAAAGATCAGAAATTGCGAAGAGCCAACCAGGTGTCACTAGAAACACAGTTAGAGAAAAGTATTGAAATATATTAAAATCTATTACTACTCGCTCTCAGGGGTAGAAAGTCTAGCAAGAGGGCGATTGCAATGATGAAATATACTTACCACCTTATCTCACTTGAGGTCCGGCAGTCAACCAGCAGAGCCAGAACATGGCACTGTGCTGGCTACAGAGAGGACATGGTTAAGCCAGCACATCTTCTAAGCAAGCTAAACTTCTGGGACTCCTACTGAGCCCTAGCTATATCTTAAAGATTTTCCCCCACTGGCAGAATCCCCAGTGCATAGTACCATTGGAAATGCCAGTTGTCATACCATGAACAGTGGCCCTGTGTGAATGAGGTTAAATTGAACCTGTAAGTTGCATCTGTACAGCATCCCTTTAAAAACATTATGTGAGCTATTCATTGGCTGAAAATATGATTTTCAGAAAACAATTTACAGAGCATTTTAAAGCACAGGAAACACTATACAAGACAGCACTGGGCGATTGTCCCAGAGTAATGAAATATGGTGAATGTTTCCAGACAGCCTTATCTTCCAACCTCTATTAGTGCTATAGATTGCCAGGGGTCAACTTCTCCACCGGGCTAAGAGCTCCAGATTAAAGTACATGGCACAATAAATGCTGCTAGCATTTTTTCATTTTCTGTAATGTTGCATTTCTCTGCCAAAACTGCCACCATGCTGATAATTATGTCATCCATCCTTTACTGTGTACTGCAAAGTAACACTTCACAATGTACTGTAGCAATGTGTATACAGTACAATAGCTAGTTCCATATGGTTCCTCATACATTTATTTTTACTTTCATTGGCGAATTAGAGTGACATTGTTCATTATATTTCAGATGTTAGCACAGTTGGAGCACATCCAAAGATGTGTATTTAAACTGCCAAAGAATGAGAGACTGACATCAGGCATGACTCATTACTGAGCTGTTGATGGGAAAAGAGGATTTCAGTGGGAAATCAGCTCTAATCAGTGTCATCAAACGTCACAAAATTTCCCAGTGGCTGTCATGACACTTCATCAATTCAACAGTGAACTAGACATTCTGGGTGTTGTTGTGCCACCATTTTGTACAGCCACTTGTCCTACATTGGTACTCTTTTGATGGTGAGGAGTAGGGTGCAAAAGGGTTTTCAGAAAGGGAATTTGTCACATAGGGCAATATTCTGTACTTGTACCTAATTCAGGCCTATGGACTTTGATACGCTTGCACTGGATGTAAATCAGTATTTCCAAGAACACTCATTAATCTATAAAGCAGATCAACTTGTTTATAGCTGGGGAAACATCTTCAATTGAAGGAACACTAAGATTCTGCTCTAGTTCCTCAGACTGCCCCTCCTTCCTGCCCAATTGAAGGAACACTAAGATTCTGTTCTAGTTCCTCAGACTGCCCCTCCTTCCTGCCCTTCCTCCTCCCTCTGCCTCCTCAATAAGCATCCTCTTCCTGTTTTCTGGGTTGAGTCTGCTGTTTTTTCATTCACCTCTCAGTTTTGCAAAACTTTGAGTGAGAGTTGTAAGACCCAGGTGAAAGCCGTGGAAAAGGACAGTTTCGGATGGATGTCAGTGGAATACTGATGACTCTATATCATGATCCCGCCTTCCCAGGAGTTTCACACAGATGTCCATTACAGGCCGTGTCAAGACTGAACCCCATAAGGCTCCACAGCTATGCATCACTGGGGAAGAGGAGTAGTCATCCATTACCATCCTGGGAGTTATTTTTTTTAAAAGAAATGCATGGCATAGCTTGAAGGTTAACCTGTGCACTTTTGCAGGGTCATGCAATTACATGTTGTGCTCAGAAGTATTAAAGGCTGCTGGAAGACCACTAAATGTCAACCCAGGACATCTGTCCCCAACTCACTACACTGGCAAGATCACTGAATTGTGATGGCACTGTTTCTGGAATCCAAGGGCCTCAAGTACGTGGGACTTGGAAGCTGTCCTGATACTATATTAAGAAGGATGGGATGGTGAACTCTGTATATGCACCTCTGAACTCTGGGTTTGCACTGGCCAAGGGCAGCAACTATAAGTGCAGTGCAGAGAAGAGTTGGGCAAGTGAAGAGGACATAAGTATCCTGAAATAGCGCTGCAGGGTAGACATAACCTTACTGATTTTCAGATGCTATGACTGGGCTGAGATTTCCATGTTAAATATATGCATACTCCACTCCATCACGTGGAAACTAATGGGCAGCTTCCAAAAGTGACTGGCAATTAAAAATGTTATTTTAGGACAGTAATAGAAGATATTGTGACAGAAAGAGCAAAAAGGGCACGTGGGCCGTGTCCAGACTCAGGGTTTTTTTCGGGAAAAGTAGCCTTTTCCCAAAAAAACTTCCCCTGCGTCCAGACTCAAGCCGCGTTCTTTCGAAATTATTTTGAAAGAACGCGGCTTTTCTTTCGATGGCGGTAAACCTCGTTTCACGAGGAAGAACGCCTTCTTTCGAAAGTTCCTCTTTCGAAAGAAGGCGTTCTTCAATGTAAAGAGGCCGTCTTCGAAAGAGAGCATCCAGACTCGCTGGGTGCTCTCTTTCGAAAAAGCGGATTTCTCTTTCGAAAGATCCGCCTGCAGTCTAGACGCGATCTTTTGAAAGAGGCTCTTTCGAAAGATGCTTTCGAAAGAGCCTCTTTCAAAAGAAGCCTGCAGTCTAGACATAGCCGTGGAGTCTACAGAATCAGTCAATGAAGGAAATTTTCTAGAGTTACTTGACCTGATTTTAAAAGATGATAGTGTTGCAAATGTCTTTGGGATGTAGCACGTTGTAAAAAATGAGCTGATATCATCAACAGGTCAAGCCTAAGACAGAGTAAAAATGAGTGTGGTGCTGATAAATGAATTGATAATGAGATATTGGGAACAAAGTCAGCAATTCTGATAAGCTCATATCTAAGATACACTAAATGAAACTGGTATTTAAAAGATAATTTTGAGCCTTAGAAGTGCAGAAAGAAAAGTTATTGTGAAACTTGCACAGTGAGGACCTGTGGTTTGGATATGACCCAAGTTAGTAATGCTTAAGTTTTAGTTACCATCTGACAGTTATTCATTGGCCTATGTGAACTGAGTTTGTGGTCTCAGTGGTTATCAAAGAGGAGTGGTCACCATGGAGAGCTGTGAACATTTTAAAAAATGTGTGTATGTACAGTAGTTCACTTGTAATAGTCTGTCTCTTAAATGACTAGAGCATTTACCTGGCATTGCTCGGGTCCTTAACTGCAATATTTTTTGTTTTTCTTTACTTACATCATTGTTCTGGGGTGGGGCAGTGGATAAGGAGCTCAGTATGCAGGGTGGCTTGGAGAGGACCAACCCAGCCCTCTCTCAGCACAGCATCCTGGTGCCAGGTGAGAAGTGCCTGTCCATGTCTGCTGAAGTGGGCACAGATGGAGGAAGGGTGCATTTCCCCCAGCTGAGGGACAGACACACACACAAACAGACAGGCTCTCTGAAATATGCAGTAGGTAGCTGTTCCCTTCTCCATCCCTGCCTCTTGCTGGCCCAATGAGGTTATAGCTGTCCCCGTCCCCATCTCTAACCTCTTGCTACATTTCCCCCTTCCCCCCATGATTACTTTGTAGTTTAATTGTCACTCCTCTCAGACCCCTCCCTTTCCATTTTATGAGAAACAATCAAATTCCAGGCATATCCTATTGTCCTGGCACAACCAAACCCTTACCTTGCTTTAAGTGATGATAGGAGAACACTGTATAGCGAATGTGGTGGTCCTAGCTCTTATCATTTAGGAGGAGTTCTTGAACAAACAGTTGGACAGACAGTTGCACATTTCTAAAATATATAGTAAGATTTTCCTGATGACAGTCCTGGAATAATGGTCTTTTTCTATAACATTTCTTTCGGTGGTAAGCTTTAAATTAAAATATGTAAACATATATTTATTCTTATGACAGCCTGTGACGGGGCAGCCCCACCCCGCACTCAAGCCCAGGGAAACCACCTGGTGCCAGGGGCGGAGAGGGCCCCACCCACACAGCCCTACTGGGCATGCTCCAAGGGGAGCACAGGTACAAAAGGCTGCTGGCCTGCTCAGAAGGGGCAGACCGTGGCCCGAGCGGGAGCCAGCGCCCAACTGCCAGAGAGGGAGTCGCCAGGACAGTTGAACGCGCCGCTGCCAGGCCCAAGCCGGGCTCGGCCCCAACGACGGAGCCGCCGGTGTGATCCGAGCACCGGACCGGACCCTGCCAACGCCGACGTTGCCGGGGGAAGTACCAGTCCAGCCATCTGACTGACGCCGACAGGTGGGACCGCGCCGGGCCGGGGGCTGGGGGTAGGAAGTGACCCAGGGCAGGGAGCTGTAAAAGCCCCTGAGGGCTCGGGGCGTTGCGGGGAGGAGCCCCTGCCGAGCCAGTGGTGGGAACCACCCGCCACTACTAGGGCCCTGGGTCGGGGCCCGGTGGAGAGGGAGGGCCCGGGCCCCCCTACCCCTGCTGCCCAAGACCCCGGCGAGTGGGGGCTGGGATAAAGAACTTTGGACTAGGCCTCTGGGCCTGTGAACTGTGGACTAGGCCGGGAGGCCGTATTTCCCCTAGTACAGGGGCAGTGAACTTGGGACTAAGCCGGGAGGCCATATTTCCCCTATCGCAGGGGCAGTGAACTTTGGACTAGGCCGGGAGGCCGTATTTCCCCTGTTGCGGGGGCAGTGAACTTTGGGGGCTAGGCAGTGAGGCAGTATTTCCCCTAAAAAGGGGCACCACGGTTTGGGTCGAGGCCCAAGCTGGTTGGCTGATGCCCTGGAGGAGGGTGGCAACCCCCGTCAAGGGGGGGAGGCCCCGACACAGCCCCTCCTCACCAGTCCCTGATGGCCAACACCCAAAATAGTGTGTATCCATTTAACGGGTTCACTTGCTGTCTCCTCTATATGTTTTTGTCCCCTTTGGATATGAAAGGCCATTTGCCTACCTTCCCAATCCTGTCTCTTTGGGAGTGGGGAAACAAAAATGGAAGCATAGGCTCTTTGACTCACTAAAAATATCATGATACAATAATGTAGCTTATAATTTAGGTCCTGTTCTAAATCTCTTTGAAATCAACGGGAGCTTTTCCATAGATTTCAGCTGGCATTAGACCAGGCTCTTAGTTCACTACGTTGCCAGTGCTCAATATACTTCCATATTTTCTGATGTATTATGGATTTTATCTCAAGGACTTTAAAAATCACACTTTTATTTATCTAAGCTCTGACAATATCTTCATATTTTAATTTAGAACTAAGATTTCCCCGAGATGTTTTAATGCAATCCTGGCCATTGCTAGGTCAAATGGTCACCCTGACTTAAATGCTGTTAGCAAATCAGAGTTCTTTTTCAGGTCAAAAGCATCATGAAGCTTTTTCTCCTAATGTAAAAAAGTTGAAGAGGTCTCAACCCAGAGCACATGTGGTGGTGTTTCTGACAAGTACAGTGGGCACAAAGCTGGTGTTGGAGAGTCCAAGGACATTTTTACATATTTGCTTTAAAGAAATAGTGATTCAAAATAGTAACAGTGGTGTTTCGTTGAGGACAATCATATTGGTTTTGTTTGACCTACAAAATATCTATTTGTCTCTCCTAAATCAATTAATATAAAATTTCATGTGCATTCTATACTGCATTCATTTTGGTTCATAGAGACAAAATAACTTGGTTCTGCACTGTTTACTGATTTCCAAGAGAGGGAAGTAATCTTTTTAAATAGCTTTCATTTTAATTTTGAAGGGAACAGATTTCAGAATGGTGGCCACTTGGAAGGTATTATGTGTGCCCTTCAATAAAACCTGTACTATCTTTCGATTTCAGAATGGTGGCCACTCGGAAGGTATTATGTGAGCCCTTCAATAAAACCTGTACTATCTTTCAAGTAACTGTTAATACTGTTTATTGAGAAGTGGTCTCATTCCAGCTTTGACCTATCTTTGCCATGCCAGTTATTTCTTTTCCCCTGCCCAGTTTTTATTCATATTGAGTACTAGCTGATAATGGTGTGTATCTTCTGTATGAGTAATTCTGTACTAAAAAGAGGAAACCCAGTACTTCATGAAAAGACACAGAAGAACCCATCAGTGTCTCAAAATTGTAGTTAGACAAGCAATTTCTCTGGGTATTTTGGTGGTCCTTTTGATGATGCAATCTATTTCTCTGGTGGAGTGTATTTATTTGGTGCATTAAAGGTGTATACTGTGGACTTCCTTCTTAGAACCTGTAGTATCTGAGTGTCTGAGTTGATGATAGATTGTTTGGTGTCTTTGAGGTGGTTATTGGATCTCTGAAGGTAGATGTGGTGATCTGTGGGGTTCTTGCATATGATTGTCTGTACATTCCATTGCACTGAAATTGTAGTGTCAGTAATCTAGGACATGGAAGTAACCACAGTTTCCAATTGTAGAAGTAGGAAAGACAAGATAAACTCTCTCTGCTGTAGCTCCCATCACTGATGCTTAAGAGCCTGACTCCAAACTGGCTCTTTCTCTCACAAATACACTCAGAGAAAGTTTTCAAATTTGCCCATTGGCTACGTCCAGACTGGCATGATTTTCCGGAAATGCTTTTAACGGAAAAGTTTTCCGTTAAAAGCATTTTTGGAAAAGAGTGTCTAGATAGGCACGGACGATTTTCCGCAAAAGCACTTTTTGCGGAAAAGCGTCCGTGGCCAATCTAAATACACTTTTGCGCAAAAAAGCCCCAATCACCATTTTCGCGATTGGGGCTTTTTTGCATAAAACAAATCTCAGCTGTCAACACTGACCCTTTTGCACAAAAGGGACTTTTGCCTGAACGGGAGCAGCATAGTATTTCCGCAAAAAGCACTGATTTCTTACAGTAGGAAGTCTGTACTTTTGCAGAAATTCAAGCAGCCAGTGTAGATAGCTGGCAAGTTTTTCCGGAAAAGCGGCTGATTTTCTGGAAAAACT